TTATTGTCTGCCTGCCCAGCACTGGCCTGGGCTGGAGTTTGATCTATGCGTGCATTTCAAAGTAGGGCTGGAAGCAGGGAGAACTGGGCTGCTGGAGACGTGGCGGAGCACTGACTCCATGCTGCCAGCAGGCCATCGGAGGGAGGACCCACCATCCACAGGACAAAGTCTCCTGTCCCACGCCTTGTACAAGGCCCTGGCGGGACACCAGCTGTGCTGCCTGTGGGGTGGCCTTCCTGAGCCCGCCTCTTTTTATTTGGGTTTGAGGTTCTAGAGGAGCGCCACTATCTGGGCTCACTCCGACCTTTGGCAGAATGTCTACATTTTATGTGACTTCCTCCGGTACCAGAAGACAGTGTTCAGTGGCAGCCCTACGCGAGTTTTACACACGCTCTGAACTGTGACTCGGACAAGCCACGTGGACATGCTGTGGGCTACATGATTGGATGACGGCAACAATGAGCTCAGCCACCCCTACGGTGCAAGGCACCCGGGGGACAGAGCTGAGCACCGAGTGGCCCCCTCCTCTCCCAGGAATCTATGCCATAATCCCAGCTGTGCCCCCCACCCTCACTCGGCATGTGGTTAGATCAGCCTCCCAGGCTTGGGGCTAACTGAGCCATGTTCTAAGGGCTCTAGGAAGTGTGGGAAGCCCACGTGTGTCCTGATCCTGATCTGCTGTTGGGAAGTTCACGGACAGACTCCCTCTTGTCGCCCAAAGGCAAAAGCAGGCCTTTCCGTCCCGCCTTGGACCAGGCCCCTTCCTCCCCTTCCCTGGCCGCCAGCACTGCTCCAGTGCAGACCCCAAAGATGCTCTACTGAGTCCTGGCATGTAGTCCACCCCTGCCCTGCCCCAGCAAGCACCCAGCAAAGGCAGCCATTGCCAACCGGAGGAAGACTGTGTGTCTCGAAGGTTCTAGAAAATGCCCTCTGCTCTCTGGTGAGATGAGGGGAGGGGTGTGGGCTCTGAATACATGTGGCTCCATAACCCCACTAATAACTGGACTTCTCACCCTGACACCCAAAGTTAGGGATCCCTGTCCGTTCTTCAGCTGAAGAAACGGGCGTTGCACAGAAGCCCACATGTGCCGGGGCGTGTCACCAGCCAGCATATCCCACTGAGGGTCCCCAGCACCGCACTGCAGCTCCCGGCTCCTCCCCGAAGCAGTGACGTGGTACTGGCTGTCTGCAGCCCCAGGTCTGCGACAAGGGCCCAGCCTGGATTCTGCTCCTGGTGGTGGCATTGGTCTGTGTGTGGTGGGTCGGGCATGCTGTGCCCGCTGCCGACATGCATGCAATTCTGCAGCCTCCAAAGGGCTTGACAACAGCCTCTGGACTTTACACCGTGAGTGGACATCTCAGCATCTGGCCTGAGGAAGTCGCCGAGGGGCAGACAGCTCTACCAAGAAGATGTCTGCTGGAGGGCTCTTTACCACAGCGAACAGTGGAAACCACCCGGCCCGCATCAGAGGAAGAGCGGAGGGGACTGTCAACACCGGCCGTGCACAACGAGGAGACGTGTCTCCTGGCAGCCATTCCAGGGCTGGAGGAGGGACTCGGGCTGAGGCTACGCTGAGCCACCCACCATCGGGAGGAGAGCACGTGACCAGGTGAGGGAAAGATGGGGCGCGTTGATGCTTTTGAAGTTGCCGTCCTAGGCCCGGGGGCTTGCACAGTCCAGGTGAGGGTCATGGCCATCTGGAGAATTAGATCATCTCCCTGGAGGCTGGGACCCTCCCAGCTCCTGGCGTCTGGAAGGAGTTTGTCTCCTGTTGTACTGCCACCTGGCACACTGCCCGGGCCTCTCCTCACCTGTCTAAACCCCACCTGGGCCAAGAGCCCCCGTACCTGCCAACCCTCTGCTCTTCTGAGGCAAGGACCTCCTGCTGTCCTACCTCCCAAGCCGTCAGGCTCATTATTATTCCGACTGTACTGCCGGCTGCTTCCTGCTTCCCAGTTGGAGCCAACAAACAGAATCAAGGGCCCGCCCAGGTACTGGGCTCAGCTCTGCAGAGACTGCAGCGAGGCAGTGGCGTTGACTCGGACTCTTGGTGGCCCTGTAAGCCAGAAGAGAACTGCTCCCGAAGGGTTTCTGAGACCGCACCTCTTTACAGAAGCAGACAGCCTCCTCTTTCTCCTTCAGCGTGGCTTGGGGGTTTGAACCACTGACCTTGAAGTTAGCAGCCCAACACTCACCCCATGGCATCATCAGGGCTCCTTGATAGTCACACACCACCCTAATGTAAGGCGACCATGCAGACTGGCATGGTGAGGAGAGAAGCCCAGCACCATGGTGGGAGGATGGAGGGGTGGGAGGATGGGAGGATGGGAGGATGGATGGAGGATTGATGGAAGGATGAGAGGATGGGTGGATGGGTGGATGCATGGATGGTTAGTTGGGATTATGAGTGGGTGGATTTATGACTCAGTAGATAAGTAGGCAGACTGAGAGGTGGGTGAATGCGTGGATTAGTAGATGGAGGTGGGTGGGTGGGTTCATGACTTGGAAAGATGAG